AGAATCTGAACTCCTAGAGGTATCTATGGGTTTAAGAGGTGTGGACCATTTATTCTCTTAACAATTTTTTTAAATTCCAAATTGCTTTCAGAGTGATTGGACCAGTTTTCGTGTTAGTGTGCTTGTGTTCTTGTTATTAAGTATTAAGTATTTCCATCTTTGGTCATCTTTGCCAATTCACACATGCTGTTAATTGAAATTTCTTTAATCTATATTTCTCTTAATTATTATTTGGAGCAAATTTTCATCAGGTTATCAAATTTGCAATTTTTTTTTTTGAGAATAGTTTGTTCATATCCTTTGATCACTTATCTGTTGCTAAAGGACCCTTGGTTTCTTGGTCTTTTTTTGTAATTTAAACTTTTGTAACAGGGAGTTTCCCTTTGTACCAGGGGGAGTTTTTCCTCAGTACTTTATTTGAACTAGTTAGGCCCAGAATTTAATCACAAGATATGAAAGAGATATTAAGAAATTTTCCTATAACCCCAGCAATGTGTGAATATGACTTTACTTAATTTGAGATGATTATAGGTCCTTGGCCATTGGATGAAGGCAAAGTACTACATAGAAAATGTTTTGTGATTGATTAAATGAAATAGCCTTGTCTATGGTATGTGAGCCACAGTACAGAAGTGGGTAAAAGTAAGGACCACTTTTGCCATGATGCCATGGTGATGGGATCTTTTTGATGGCGGAGGTGGCGGTTTGAGATGGGATTTGGAAATGGCTAGGGGTGGTTATGCTGTAGAGTTTAGGAATGACTCAAGGTCTGATCAGTGGGCAAGGGGAGGAGTTTTTCCCTACTTCTGATCAAAACTATTGCTTTGGAAAAAAGTTGTAGTTATGTTACACATCAGTTTGATTCTTAGTATGAATGTGAGATCTCTGTCCGGTGATCTAGAGTTGAAATACTACAGGAAAGTGTGAATTATATCAATATGGATCTTCTTACTGTAAATGAAACCAGATTGATAAGTGTAGAGAATGCAGATTCCCACAGGTTGTCCCACAGGTTTATTTGTTGGCCAACCCCCCCCCAAAAAAAAAACCCCAATCTTTTGATTTGGTCATACAAGATTCCTTCAAGGTATGATTACAGATGACAACTTTATTTGACCTTTTGATTATTAATACCTAGCTAGGCATAAAATAGGATGACGTTTTTGCCTAAGGTGTTTGCTACTGTCATGGGGAATACCCAGGGAAGAGGGATTTTATATAGGTGATGAAGTTCTTCAGATTTTCCTGTTTGCAGATGACATTGTTTTGATTCCATTAGCCCTGGAATATTGATTCTGTTAACCAGGAGAAAAAAATATTCTAGTCTGAATAGTAGTAATATTAACTTTTATTTACCTTTGAATGAGAGAAATTCTAGGCATAGTTTGACATGCATTTTAGATTTTGAGAAAGCATATTTCAGGGAGTTGAGGAAATACAGATAGAATCCTATGAAGAGAAATGCTTCAGGGGATGTCAGCCAACGAAGAATGAGAGATGCTCAAGATTGAAATTTTGAAGACACAAAAGGAAACAGTTCCACCAAGTAGAAAAAGTGGGATTTGTCTGAAGAGGCCAAAGTAGATGCACAAAGAACTCACTAGCCAACTTGATTTAAATACGAAATGCACAAAAAGTGGAAGCAAGACTAGCTAACAGAAGATTAATGTAAGAGTATGACAGAATCCTGTAAAAATCGCGTGAGAAATGCTAAAGATCAGAATGAACTGAGGCTGTGAAGGGAAGGTAAAGACAACAGAAAAAGGATGTTTTTTTAAGGTCGAAGAAGGGTTAGGACATTTGCATAGGATGAATGGGACAATGATAACTGACAACAGAGAATAGGCAGAGATCATTTTTACTTTCTGTTTTCTCTGTAAAGAATGACCTTTAGCCTATAAATAACAAAAGTGACCGAGAGAGTAAGAGCTACTAAGAGAGTACATAACTACCGTTAATGAATTCAAGTTACCTATCCCAGAAGAGTTTTGTCCTTGAATCCTGAAAGGACTGGCACACACAATTGCTGAACCATTTGTCAGTAAGACTTTTGGATATTTGAAAGACATGGAAAATAGGACAAGTAGCAGAGTATTGGAGGGGAGGGCAATAATCCCAATTTTCAAAAAAAGGAATAAAACGCAGATTGAAAACCATAGGCCTGTGAGCTTGAATTCAGATTCTGGGAAAATTATAGAACAGATCACTAAAGAGATGTTTGGTGAATGTCTAGAAAGGGAAGTGGTAATTGCAAAGACCTCACATAGCTTCATTGACTAGAGGTCGTGCCAGGCTAACGTCATTTCCTTTTCTTTTTAAAGGATTACTAAATTAAATGCACTGGGGAAATGCTGCAACTATAGTTTCCTAGTTGATTAAAATGATGGAGAGATATAGTTTGGACATAATTAGGTGGATTCCAAACTGGTTGGTGACAGGATTGAAAGAGTAATTGTTAAGTGTTCAATGTCACTGTGGCAAGAGAGCTCTAATATTGTATCGGAGATTTGTTCTGGGCCCTGTGTTATTTAACTTTTTTTTTTATTATTGATGATTGGATGAAGACATGGTGTGTTAATCATATTTGCAGATGATATAAAGCTGAGAGGGATAGTGAATGGTGGATGTTGGGATCCAAAATTATCTTTGGACATTAGAACTTTACTCTGAATCTAATAAGATAAAATCCAATAAGGGTAATTATAAAGTCTTGCATTTAGGTACAAAAAAATCACAAGTATAATATGTTGGAGGTATGGATTGGCAGCAATTCTGACAAGATCTGGGGATTTTAGTAGAAATTCATTATGAGTCAACAATGTGCTGTGGAAGCCAAAAAAGTTGATGTGATCTTGAATTACATTAAAAGGCTTATAGCTTTCAGGAATGGAAAGTTTATGGTCCCAGTGTGGTTGGCTTTTTTTTTTAATGTCTAGTCCAGTAGAATATCATGTTCAGTTCTGGGAGCCACAGTTTAAGGACATTGATAGGTTAAGTTGGAAGGTGAATGCCCAGAGGTGGGAAGGCAGGATGCTGAAGGGCCGTGAGTCCAGTTATATGAAAATCAGTTGAAGGAACTGGGCATATTTAGTTTGGAGAAGTCAAGAATTGGGGGGACCATGGTAGATGTCTTCACGTATTTGAAGGGCTGACATGTAGAAAAGAGACTAGAATTCTGTTGGACTCCAAAGGGCTGAATCAGGAGCATTGGGTAAAAGTAAGAAAGAAGCAAATTTAGGTTTGGTGTTAGGAAAAGTGCAAGATGAAGTGAAAATTTATCTTTCGTGGTCAAGGACCTCTCTGGTGCAGAAGGAAGAGTACTGTGTTTAAACTATATTCTCTTTCTGGAGGGAAGAAGTAGCTGAAGTACATACAACCCTTGGATTTTTTCCTTTAGCTTTCAGTGATATGAAAAAAAGCATGTTTGTAATAAAGAAGTGGTATTATACTCTTGTGAAAAGAGCATTTGAGTGTGTGCATATTAAGTTGTTCTGTGTTTTATTTTCACTCCAGCCACTTATTTTATGTAGCTGTGATTTATTTTTCTCTACATAGGCATATAGACTTCCATACTGTTTTTCTCTTTTATGTTTAATACGTTGAAACATTTGTTTTATCTTTGATACTCTTCACTCTTATTTACCTCACATATATTACAAACTATTTTGAAATCTCTTGTTTTCTTCTTTACTCACACAGCCATGACTTGAATTTAGACCTCTTCACTTTTCTTCCAAACTGTTGGAATAACCTCTTCATTAATCTTTTTGTCTCACGTATATATGCTTTCCAATTTATCCTCCATACAGCTGCCAATGATTTTCCTAAAATGCAGGTCTTACCATGTTAATTTTCTGCTCAATAACTGTGGCTCTCTACTACCTCTGGGATAAAATGAAAGCTCTTGTTTAGCTTCTAAAACTCTTTATAACCTGATCCTAGCCTACCTTCTGAACATTGTTATACATTACTCCCATTCCTGCACTATCCTGTCCATCCCAACTGATCATCTTGTCATTCACATATGAATCTCCATCTTCTCATTTCCACTCTTTTATACTGGCTGTCCACCATGCCTGGAATGTATTCCTGTTTCACCTCCACTTTTTAGAATACCTTGTTTCTTTCAAATATCTTCTGGTAGATTGTCTTCTGAAAGAAGCTTTTCCTGAACCCTGTAGGCTGTTGGTGCCATTTCCCCCACCCTTGACTTTATTTTATATATATTCTTGTTATTGTTCATGTCTCCCTAGTAGAATACAAGCTCCTTGAGGACTGGGACTTTTATTTTTCGTTGTATTTCCAGTGCCTAGAATGTGGTAGGCATTGTATTGCTCGATTGATATGGAAAAAGCCCTATATATGGAAATGTAAATTTTTGAAATAGATTAGTACTATGATTCTTTTAGTGCTGCAGATTTCATCACTCATAGCTTGCTGCTCTTGTCTCTTTAAACAGATCAGGTAGCTATTTTTGATGTCCAGCTCTCCACATGCCCTTTCTTCCCTACTTCCTGCACTCAGTTACTATGGTTTTTGCATCTAACTATTGAAATCTAGTAAGTAAATACACTAATTGGTAACAGATATCTTTAGTCCTCCAAATGGTGATGTAAATTGTGTCAGAACCATGTGTAATAGATTTACTAAACTTTGAATGAACATTTCATCCTAATGCTAAAAAGTAAATTTGGGAGTGGGATTGTTCTGATTTTTGATTGCATGCAGATCCCAAATGAATCAGTGGATCATCAGTAAGCACTGAAATATATCTTTTTTTGTATCACACTATGCTAGGCACCTCAACACTTTTTAGAAAGTTAATTCCTATATCATGCTAAAATTTTCAGTGTTTAAAAGATGATGGTAGTATTGTAAATAGCTGTTTTTTTTTAAATAAAGAATGTGTCTGAATGTATAAATCAGTGGCAAAATGAGATTTGATTTAAATATAAGCATTTATATTTTTTCTCACCCCCAGCTTCCTTCTTCCTCCACAGAACCAAAAAAAAAAAAAGAAAGAAAAACACCCCATCATAACATAATATCTGCAAAGCAGATCCCCACGTTGGCTGTGTCTAAAACTGTGTTTCATTCTGAAATTTGAGCCTATTAGTTCTCAGGGAGGAGGTGGGTAACAATTTTTGTTTTCCATCTTCCAGAGTGATGGTTTGCCATTGCATTGATCAGAATTCTGAAGTCTTTCAAAGTTGTTTTTCCTTATAATGTTATTAGAGAAATTATTCTTCTGGTTCAGCGCTATATCAATTCATACAGGGCCCAGGTTTCTCTGAAATGATCCATTTTTTCAATTCTTATAGCACAATTATATTTCACTACATTCACATACCATAATTTACGATACAGTGCAGTGCAATACAGTACACATTTATTAAGGCTTGCTGTGTGATAGGCACTGTGTTAAACATTGAGAAGAAAAAGAAAGACAATCCTTGCCCTTAAGGAGCTTAAAATGTAATGAAGGAATTAATCAATAGAAATTTATTAAGTGACTTCTATATGCCAGGAACTTTGCTTAGTGCTCAGGAAACAAAAAAAGGCCAGACAATCCCTGCTCTCAAAGAACTTAAAATCTAATGGAAAGGCAACATGCAAACAAATATATACAAAACAAGCTATATGCAAGATAAATAGGAAATAATTAACAGAGGGAAGGCACTGGAATTAAGAGGTGCTGGTGAAGACTTCACGCAGAAGACAACAAGCAAAAGGAAACTGACACAGATTTGGTGGTGGGGCAAGGGGTTGCAAGGACCATGATGATGGTATAGGTAAATCCAAGGAGTGCAACTGGTGGGAAATGAAGTGTTGGCTGGCCTTCCAAGTTCTCTTTAAATGGAGGCATTGGGAGGAGTATTTTTTCATTAGCCCTACAATTAGAGGGGCTGAAGCAGGTCAAGGTCGTGATAGAGGGAAAGTGCCAAAGCTGATGCAACCTCTGTGATGATGAGTCTCCTGGATTTGAGCTTTGTAGGGGGAACGTGGGGTGATGGTGGTCGTGGTCTTGGGGAAGTTGAATTCAAGGAGTACATCTGGATGGGAAAATTGTTTATCCATTCCCACATAGATGGATTCCCACTTATTTTTCAATTTTTTTGGTATAAGAAAAAGATATTATAAATATGAGCCTTAAACTCCCCCCCCCCCATCTCTTTGCAAGTATATGCTTAGTAGTCATATCACTGAGTCAAGGTGTCCCAAGACTGGACCAGTTCATAGCTTTACTAATTTACTACATTGTTCCTGTTTTCCCTTACCATTGTCAACAGTAAATAAAGATATTTCAAGAAGACATCTTTTAAATTAAAGTGGGTTATATTGTATTTATTGTTCAGGTGATTCACTAGGGTGCTCTCAGGATTAGTTAGTATTTAAGATAGTCCTCTGAACTTTCTAGGTCAGGTTACTATTTTGGTATGTAATGTGACCAGGCCTGTGATTTCATTGATTGAGGGAAGTGTCAATGAGAAAATTCCTTTTAATCATGTCAGAGTGACTCTTCTTCTGAAATGTACAGTCTTAGAGAGCTGCCTAGAGTATCAAAGGGTTAAGTGACTTATCTAGAATTTTTGAGCCAATATGTGACAGAAGTGGGACTTGAACCTAGATCTCCCTGATTCAGATGCCAACTCCATATACTTTATCATACTGCCTGTCATATAGTATCAGTGTTAGACCTCAAGTATTAGACCTGTAAGAGTTGTCAATTTTTTGTGCTGACAGGATATGCAAATCTCTTTAATGAGGAATAGTATCAGGTAAAGATTTTATGTTTGGTGTGAGACCCTCTAAAAGGGAATTAGAGCAAGCTTTTAACCAGTAGTTGGAGCTATTTAGTGGATATTTGTGGATTGTCAAAAATTTATTTGAAAGAGATTACTTTTAATTAGTAGCAAAGTCATTTAGTTATTTCAGCCAAAAGAAATATTAGTAGTTCACAACATGTTTATGTTTATGAATACACAGTGAATTGTCTGCAGGAAAAACAGGTGTTGGGGTTTGTAGTAAAAATTATACCTTTTATTTATTTGGTAATATTTATTCAGTGCTATTCCTTCTTGAGTAAAATGAAGTGTGAATTTAATTTAAACTCCTAATCAAGAATATTCAATTTAATTTTTTAAGTACTCAGAAACTTTTATCTTTAGGTTTCTAGAGTATTCTTTTCAAGACACTCCTCTGATTTTTGCTTCTTTCCTGAGTTTATCTCCAGATTGTTCCTCTTTGCCCAGATCTACTTCATCCTCAGCAATCCACTATCTCTGGACAATTTTTAAATCTTAGACTGTATAGAGAATTGTTGAGAGATAATAGCATTAATTAGATCTGTTATGTCCATGTATTTCTCTTAACAGGTACATTCCTTAGAGACAGAAATCCCCAGTTTGAGAACTGAAATTGGACATTTTTGATACTTCTGTCATGTTGACTAGCCAAACACAGGTTCTGATAAGATGGTTTTAGTTACATTTTATATGTAATTTATAGAGTGTATACTGTATAGGAACCTTGGGCATTCCATATGATAAGGACCCAAGTACTAACCATGGCCTATTGCAATTTGCTTGTAAAATTTTCTTAATGGTATTTATATGGGTATATTTTCTCAAGTGTTAAATAATAGGAAGTTATCCCAATTCTGTGATACCTTTGACCTCTAATGTCAAAACTGTGATTATGTATTTTCTTTAATCAAATTTTTTAAATGTTTAATTAATTTGGATTTTTATATTTCTCCCCAAATTATTTTTTTTTTTTCAAAACAACTCTGCTGATAGGAAGTAATTATTTAACTAGTTACCAATTGAAATATGTCATATTCAAAAATTTAAAAAAATGAAATAGTTATCAATTTGAAATATTAGGCTATAGAAAATTGAATTGAATGGAAGGTAATCCCATATCTTACAGCATCTAATATAGTGCCTTGCATATGATAGGAACTAAAAAAAATTATATCTGTCTCGATCTAGGAGCATCTACAGGATTGGCAGTTATTTTTCTTTTCCCATTTATTGTGCCATTTCATCCCCAACACTGGGTTTCTTAGAGCACGCACGCCACGCGTGCGCGCGCGTGTGTGTGTGTGTGTGTGTGTAGTTAAGGTTTCAAACATTTCTTGTATTTGAAAATTGCACCCTATGTGATTTACTGTCCATAAATAGCTTTAAACTTTAAGTGCACAGTATCTGATTTGATGTATCTTAAAATGTATGATATTGAAAGTTGACTTTTTAGGCATTACAATATGTGTATTTATTCAAAAGAATTTAAAAATTTATCCTCTTTTTGTTCTCGGTGTTGAACATAAGGCTACTTACCTTGCCCATATCTATTTCTAGTTCTCATGGAAAGTGTGAGCTGTAGTTGGGGGGAAGAATTTCTTAGCTTCATAAGTATAATTGATGCATCTTATAACTATTATAGGTTCTTTTATTCATAAACATTTATTCATCAGTTTATGTATCATATAAAAGTACTCTAAAAAGAAGAAATAATGATTAGAAATGGGGTTAGGCCAGAATGTAGAGTTTAGTACCTTTATTTTCAATGTAAAATGACATTGATATAAATGAATGATAAAAAGGCTTCCAAAAAATTATAACTAAAAATTTGCTACTTTCAGTATGTTTTTTGTTTTTGTTCTCTTTTTTTTTAGCCAAAGACAGGATTTAATTATAACATCTGTCATATTGGGCAGACTCTTAAGGAATCTGAGCAGTGGCTAGATTTTAAGAATCTGAGCACCTTAATGGAGACAAGATGGATCTTACATACAGAAAAACTATGGGAGGGATTTAGGAGTGGCCAACTAGTCTGTGGGGACTGTGAGGTAATGGAAAGCCAGGGACCTGGACCAGTGGCCAAGGGAGAATGGAGTCTAGCTAGGATTAAGGGTGGGAAGTGGCCAGGGGCCATAGGGAGGTAAGACAATGGAGGGCTAGGCTAGGTTAAAGGTAACAGAGAATTGGGAGACTGGAATAGCCACAGTGTAAGGCCAGTTGATGGGGTTATAGTCTTAGGCAAATGCCTGAGATTTGGCCATGTGGAAAAGTCCAGAGTTTTTCCTTTCTGGGGTCTAGATCCTAACCCATCATTCCCCCCTCAAACAAATGGTACCCAAATTCTTTTTGGGGTAAGGGGGTGAAGGTCTTGGCTTCTGAAACTGTTTCCTGCTGGCAAGGGGTGTAGAGCTGTCCCTGCCTCGAGGGGGTCCCAAAGAGGAGGTTGGCTGGAACTAAGCACAGGCTGCATCCAGGAAACGATGGGGAGCAGACGTTGGCTGATATCCACTTTTTGCTACCAACTGTAGGTGAATGGCCTATAGTCTGGAAGACACAAATCTGACAGAAAAGACTGCAGGGCTCAGATATGACAGGATAAAACATCCTTAGCTGTTTGGATTCAGATAATTCAGTTTTCCAACCTTGCAGTATCAGATCCACCTCATAGCCAGACTCAGGAATAGCCGGGTGGGTAAGGTTCCTTTTCAAAGGAACATAATGGGGAAACTGAGCCAGGAGGATCCCATCTTCGACTGAGGCTAAAATTGTCCTCTCACCTTTTCCCAATGCTGATTTCCCACCAGTATCACATTCTCTGTGAGTAGCTTCTGGCATTTCTCTCAGGTGGTGGACTATTATCATTGGATTATTATGATCCATCAGACAACTCAAAATAAAATTTCATGAGCTTTTTTTTACCTCAAACAGCAAGTTTCACTAATTACAGCTTAGGAAAAACTTTTCCAGGATTTACATCTCAGATTTAAATTTGTCCTGGTGTAAAAAGCCAATTATTACAGATTTCTATATACTTGCAAATTCTCAGCAAGCAATAACCCAAACAAGCTTTTTGGCAAGTTTACACATTAAAATAACCAACAATAGCCAAACTATTTTAGTGGTAACCAAATTATGAAAAGTTGCTTGATGTAACTGATACAAAAAATTCACCAATTTGAAACTTGAGACAAACCCATTACCAAAGAGATGATCTTAGTTTTGTTAAATGCATTTCCAAATTACTTTACACAGAGAATTAATGTCTCATCATTAATAGTTAAAACTACAACTTTAAAAAGAGCATGCTTACCCAGGTTTGGAGGCTAGCTTCTTTACCTTGAGCAGGATATGCTGAACCTGGGTGATGCTTCCAGGCAAAGGTTGCCCCAGGACCCAAGGTGATTGCCAGTGGGGCCCACACTGTAGCTGCTGCCCTCCCCCCTTCTTCCTTTCCTGAGGTGGGAGAGGGTAAAATCAAAGGTGAGAGGGGAAGGGTGAAACTCTTTTCTTCTGTGAGAGGAGTTAACAAATACCCTTTAGCCTCAAAGGAAGGGAGTCACCAGGTTGTACAGAGGTGTTTCAAAACTCCTTAATGATCCATCATAAAACTTCCAGAATCTGCTAAGATATTTTTAGCTATTCTAACTTTTCCCTATAATCTCTATGCAGGAGGATTCAGGGGTGTGGAGGGAAGGGAGTAAGTAAGCCTCAGGGAACCAAAAAGCCACTGCAGTTTTTCCAATTCTCTAGCACTGAGAGAATTGACAGAATTAGGCATACACTTTCAGATAGGACGTCTGTCCTTGTCTTCTATGCTGCAGAAGGTGTACCCAGGTCCATGGCCTCAAACCAAACTAATGGACTGAAAGCCTGAGGGCATCAGGCCAAGTGAGAGACAGTCTCATCACTGTCTGCCCCAAAATCACCTCCAAGCCTTGGTGCTTGGAGAGCGACCCCAAATGCAGAGCAAGAAGGGGGAGGAGGTTTACTTACCTTCCAGTCTTGGCTAGAGAAATTGGGGTTAGGCACTTTCCCCGTACAGGCCACCAAAATATTGAGGTTTAGGGGTTAGGGTTCTGGTACCCCAAAATCACAACACTAGGGTCTTGCCTGAAAGAATTTGACCCAAATCTCCTTTCAGCCAAAGACAAGGTTTATTAGAACATCCGTCATATTGGGCAGAGTCTTAAGGAATATGAGCAGTGGCTAGATTTTAAGAATCTGAGCCATTTTTGTTCTTTCTTGAGGAGAAGGCAGTATGGCAGAGTGGATAGAGAGCTGGCCTCAGAGGCACACTTTGGTTCAAGTCCTGCTACTGACATGCTGGTTTTGTAAAGCTAAGCAAGCCTCTAGGCAGATTCTCTAAGGCTCTTATGTTGTAGAGCAGGTACTAACTGCATCTGTTGAAGAAGTTTTCTTATCTGGACTTCTGTACCAATGCAATCACAGGGCCAATTAAAAACACGTGTTTCTTTTTCTGAAAGAGTCTACCTGGAACAGCTGCTTTTCCATCTTCAAAAATATTTCATGAGTATTTAGTTGTGTGTGTTTTTACTTCCAAGAGAAAGGTTAAGCAGTTATTGTCCTCATCATATGGATTAACAAGGGAAGGGGATAGATATATGTGTGTGTGTGTGTGTGTGTGTGTGTGTGTGTGTGTGTGTGTGTGTGTATATAGTGCCTACTACATATCTATATCTATATCTATATCTATATCTATATCTATATCTATATCTATATCTATATCTATATCTATAGTGCCTACTACATGCTGTGGCACTGTGCTAAGTGCTTTACAAATATCTTATTTAATGAGGAAAATGAAGTACAAAGAATGGAAGTGAATTGACCCACGTAACTCAGGGTGTTAGTGGAAGTTTTACGTTATGCTCTTCCTTGTTAGAACATCTTGTTCACTATTGCTATGTATTTTGTCATACCTAGGACATGACACAATTGTAGTGGTGTTATTTGCATAAAGTGTCAGTGTTTTGTATAAAACCACACAAAATCAATTTAGTTGTCAAAGTTTAAACAACAAAAGCAAACACTTCTCTTTTTTTCAGTTGTTTCTGTGTAGTTTATTTTGTCTTGAAGCTTTATGCTTTAACTGTGGTACTATTTTAAGTTATATTAAACTGTTTGGTTGGGGGGTAGCTATTAAATGAAGATTAGCACATCTTGAGAAATATATTTCTAACTTCTCTTGCCATAAATTATTTTTTGTAAATTTTTAAATTTTAAACTTAAATACAAAATGAGAAAAGAAAATAAAACATTGCCATGTATACAGCAGACCATAAAGGAGGATGCAATATAAAACAAATTTCCATTTCAAGAAAACTTAATATAATAAATACCACACATTATTTTCAAAGCTACCCAGCTTTTCTTTGCTTCCTTGTTGGTTTTCTTTTGTTCTCTGCTGTGCACTTTTTACTTTATTTTTTCCCCTTCTCTCCTCCTACCACCCTAAATAAGGCTACAGTTAAGCATGGAGATGTGTGTGTGTGTGTGTGTGTGTGTGTGCGTGCGCGTGCACACACACATACATATACATATATCTGTAAACATACACATATATACCCATACACATATATGTAAGACTGTACTATGCTTATTTCTTCCTGTTATCTGTTTCTCTGAAGGTGGATAGCATCTTTCTTCATAAATCCAAATCTTTCCGTGTTTTTCTAAATGAACCAGCTCATCATTTCATACATACAGTAGTATTCCAACCCAATCACATCCTATGTGAGAGATTGTCTATGAAGGTTGCCCCCCCCCCCATTTTCTGTATTCCTTCTATTCTTGGCTATATAGGTTTTATTTATACAAGAAAATTTTAATTTAAAATGATCAGAATTGTCCTATTTACACTTCAACAATGCTCTTACCTTATAATATAGTTTAAGGTCTGATATTATTGAATCTACATCCTTTATGTCATTTTCCCCAGGTTTCTTTGAAGTTCCTGACCTTTTGTTCTTCCAAATGAACTTTATTATTTTTTCTAATTCAGTAAAATAATTTTTTAATAATTTAATTGGGATGACATTGAATAAATAGATTAGTTAGATAAAATTGTCATTTAAAAATTATATTGGCTTTACCTACCCATGAACAATAAATATTATTTCAGTTATTTAGATCTGAGTTTATTTGTATAAAAAGTATTTTGGGTTTATGTTCATATAGTTTTTGTGTCTGTTTTGGAAGTTATATGCTCAGGTATTTTATTCTATCTAGGTATTTTAAATGGTTTAAAATAATATTGAATAATATTGCTGACACATAGCATAGTTCTGTTTTTCACTCTTAATTAAATGTATTTTAACTTTAATAAATTGTCTGAGATCATAATTACTCTACCAACTTTTTTTACATACTAAATTCTACTCCTGCCCTGTATTTTATCTTTGTGTATATCTCTCATTTTTATGTTTCCTGAAAGCAACATATTGTAGAATTCAGATTCTTAATGTGCTATCCGTTTTCGTTTTATGGGTAAATTTCTCCTATTTGCATACTAAGCCACAGTTACTTGTTGTGTTTTCCTCCTTCCTGTTTTTCCTCACTATCCTTCTCACCTTATTTACCCTATCACTCCTCACTCCTTTGCTTTACTTGTACCCGCTACGTTGCCTTTTATTCCTTAACCCCTACCCACCTCTTTAAGAGTGCCTTCCTCACTCTCTCTTGCCACCTTATTCCCTTGCCCATCTTGCCATAAATACTGAACAAACCAGTGGTAATGTTTGGTGACTTTAGCATCCTAGGAGAATGCACCAGGGAGTGAATTTTAGTTTTATAGGTTTTCTTCTTTTCCATATGCACATACTCTTTGAGAGAATTTCATTTAGTATTTTGATATATGCATACTTTCAAATTGTTTTTTTTTAATCCACAAACCCAACATGACTCACCTGAGTGACAGTAACTCAGAAAAATAATTCATAAACTTTTCTTTATATGATAGAGATTGAAATCCCTGAGTAAACAGTATAGATTTGTGCCTAGAACCATAGACGTACTTGTTAAAACAATTTGGATTTGAGAGTGAGCAAAATTTGAAAGTGGAATTCCAGAGAGAGAGGAATAATATTTAGGATTTAGAATCAAGAAAAATGTAATGGGGAAATAATTTATTTCAGATCCAGTCAGCCATTGGCAAATTTTGATGAAAGACCGACTTTTTGTTCCTAGTGTAGTTTCTAATTTGTCTTCTTCTTAGCTCCTTTTGACCTATTTAATTGTTACCCATTTAATTGATTAGCTCTTTATTAATTATGTAAGTAGGTATAAGTATAGGACTCATTTTAGCATTACTAACATGTAGTTACAGTTTCTGTTTTTCAGTAGTTTTTATTTTTCGGTATTTTAAGAAACTATAACCTTTTTGTCTGCATTTTCTTTTCACAGATTTGGAAGGAGCCCGGGACTGAAAGCTGTGTTGACTAGTATAAATCCTTCAATGACTTAACTCTTCATGGCAACTGACTGGAAAAGCAGAGGCAACTTCAAGTGGCAGGCTGAGGAAGTGTGTGTTTCTGTGTTTGTGTGCGTGTATGTATATTTAATACTACGTACAGCTAGACATATACATACATAAGGACATATACATACGCACACATTTACAGTAACATATGCACTCACTTTGGCCCCCTCTCAAAGGCTTTACAGCTGATGAAAATAAATTTAAGAATCAGATGGGGCAGGTTGGCAACACCGGGCTCAGGAGTCCAGGGAGAAAAACACATTACTAAAGGTCAACTTTCCATATGGTCTTCACGGGTGAAGAAAGTTTGCAAAAAGAGGAAAAAAAGGTCCTGCGCAGATCAAGTCCCCAAAATACCTCCACATTTAAACGAATGTGCTAAATGAGACAGTTGACAGGGTTGAGGGGGGGAAAAATCTGTATTTTAGTATGTAAGTTTGATCATGTGCTGTCCATGGCACGTTGTTTTTTCAGTGGGTTCAATGAATTGAACTTTTTTTTATTTCCTGGACTGACTATTGACCATTACTTTGTGGTTATGACTGGAAGAAAGTAAATTCAAGAGTGATGGAACAAATTTGGACATTGAACTGATTTGTTTGCTTTTTTTTCTTTTTGTTAAAAGTGTTTGTGAAAATATAATTTATTTCCCCTTTCTCTTCCTGCATCTATAGGATAAATATCTTAAAATTGTAATCTAAACCAATAATTAAAAAGCAGAGATGAAGAGAAACCAAACAGTAAGTTTCCTTTTTACTGGACTACAAGTGTGGCATTTGGAGCACCCTTTCTGAATTTGAGCTAAAAGAATTCATCGGACAAGCTATGAGACATCATCAGGGCAACAGTGGAAAAAAGGAAATCTGATCTTTATGTGTGTGCTTTTGTTTTAAGTAATTATTTTCCTCTCTTGAGTCCTAGAAGACTTGTAGATGAGTGGGAGATTACTTACTTATATGTTTAATTTTGGGACTTGTTTTTGCACCAGGATGGAAAAAGCATGTGATCTTTGTAGCAGAATAGGGGAAAAATAAGTGGGGGAGTTCAAAGTGGGGGTGGAAGTGGGGGAAGAATCAGAACTGAAGTGTAGCCCTGTTTTAAAAGAGAGAGGACTTATGATTCACCCAAGGCAAATGCTTTTTGCTGCATTAAAGCTTTAGAGCATTTCTGATTCTGCTAAATGAAAGAGGGATTTTCTTTTTTTGTGCCTCTATGGCAGCAAGAAGTGAGAAAGCAGGCGAAAAAACGTGATAAACAGTTCAGGGTATGTTAAGTTCCAAGTGGAAGCAAAGACCTGCCATGAATGTGGGACTGGCTTTGAATTACAAAAGCCATAGGATTCAGTGGGTTTCCTGGTTCTGAAGGGAGGAGGAAACACCCTTTCTTTCCCAAATTTGGACTGGTGTGTACCTACCTGCACAAGTTCTGGTCTGTTTTGCACGGTTTGTGTGCCTTTTTTTCCCTTTATGCAATCTTTCTCAGCTTTAGCAGCAGAAATTCATCTAGTTCAGAAAACATGCCAGAGGGTGGCTCAGAAAAAAAGATGATTATGTATATTCAATTTCTGCATTTGAACTCCTGAAGAGAAAATCCAACTAGAGGAATTCTTAAAGCCTTAAGTTACTTGAAATCTACACATTTGCAACCCTTTGTCTCTGGAATTGTATTACTCTAAACTGGAATCTCAGGCTGTATAAAGATAAACACGTTGAGCAAAAAGAAGACGCACCTGTTTCTTGATCACCACTTCTTAATCATGCTGTTTCTCCAAAGGATAAGTGAACCCTCACTCTAAGGACTCGAAAATAAAAATGAACCTGAAGTTTTTTTTAAGTGTTACTTTTTCTTAGCAGACTGCCATCATCTTTTATAGAGGAATTTTTCACTATGCATTTGGTGGATATTTATAAAACACTGACCCTCTGATGTGTGCCAGGTCAGTATTTATGATTTAAAGGAGAAAAAAAAGCATATCAAACCAACAAAAAAGAAATTGGTTTAAATTTTTCTGCACTAAGCATTAATTTTTTTGTAAAAATATTAATAAAAAGCATGTATGCAGCAGTGGAACATGGGCCTGTCCTTTGCAGCGATTCAAATATTCTGTGCCTCTCCTGGAAGGGTAGAGTTCCAAAGAGTGAAAAGGAGAAGCCAGTGTGCAGGAGGCGGTATTATGAAGAAGGATGGTTAGCCACTGGCAATGGTCGAGGAGTTGTAGGGGTGACATTTACTTCAAGCCACTGTAGGAGGGATAGAAACACTCCTCAGAGAATAAACTTCAACTTGAGAGGCCATAACAGTGAGGTGAGTAAGTTGTTTTATTTTTTCATTTTAAAAAATATTCAGAAATTTTATATGGTAGGAGTGAGTCTCCCTTCACTTAAAACCAGACCCCTTTGATTCAAAGAATGTTGTGACTTTGTTTTACTGGGTCTATTATAAATAAATAGTTTCCCAGCACCATTGGTTTTTATGGATTCCAATTGGAAAAGTTTTAGTGAGGTTGAGTATTCTTGCTGTAGTTCTCTCATGTAGCAAGTGTACTCCGCCACTATGCTTTTGTATTCCTCCCTAAAAATAATTCAACACTGATTCATTGGAAGTATTTAAAGCAGGCTAAATCTGTCAGGGATGTTGTAGATGATATTATTGCATTGATTGGATGGTGAGAATAAATGACTTAAAGTCTCTTTTAATTAAGATTTTCTGATTCTTGACCTACTTTTTACCTTTTCATCATTTCAGGGACTTACTGTTTTCTAATAAGGTGGAGAATTACTTAACAAAAAATGATATTTTCCTTTGTTGAATAATATAATATTTTCCTATAGACACAGTTTACGTGCCTGTTTGTCATTTCTTAGACTTGGGGTAGAATTAACTGATTTACTATGGAAGACAAAAACCTTGATTTCATAAAAGTTTAAATATCTAAGTTCATGAAACTTAATAAAACTGGTTTATCATAAGTCTAAGAAACCACGGTGAGAATCTAGGTGAGTCAGGGGTGTCACTGACTCAAGGTTAGACCTTGAGTAAATAATAAGGCAAATCTAAGTATTTAAAGAAAAGTTTATTTTGAGCTAGAAAATCATCAACCACCACAAACATTTCCTTTCACAAAGAAGGCAGTAAGTGGGGATTACATATGAAATTGTTAATTTATTACATACAGCTCAATCCTTTTAAATAATATACTTTAAATTTAATGTGATAGTACCAGTATCCCTCTGCTTGTTTGTGTGCCCCTCTAAACTTCCCTCAGATCTTCTCTCGTTATATTCAAAATGTTTCATTGGTGTCCTTTTCTTCCTCCCTCCGCCCCTTTTTTGCTTTACACTCAGTACTCCTTACTGTTCCTGTAACCCCCCCCCTCTCCACACACACACACGCACACACACACACACACACACACACACACACACACACACACGCACACACACACATAAAAGCTCTTCCTTGTAACAAAAATATAGTCAAGCAAAACAAATTTGTAATGTAGTAATTGTGTCTGGAAATGTGTCTCAATCTGTACCTATAGTCCACTAAAAAATGAAGACTATGCTTCTTCAGTCTGATTGGTCATAGAGTACTTACGTCTTTGAAAGTTGTTTTCCCTTACCATGTTTTAGTCATTATATGAATAGTTCTGTTGGTTCTACTCACTTTATTCTGTTTCATTTTATACATATCCTCCTCAGGTTTCTCTGAATCTATACCTCCAGTACATTCATATGCCATAATTGTTCAGTGATATACCATTTGATAGACACAACTTTATTTCTAGCTCTTTGCTACAATTGAAAGTGCTGCAGATGTAGAGTATGATACAAATACAAATACGAAAAGTATTTTTGTAGCATAGCTCATTTTCCTGTCTCTAATCTTGTAAGAGTAACTGAAGCACTTTAGAAAAAGCTAATATTTTTCACCCAATCAAAATTCTAGTGGCTGTTTCCTATAGACCTCCAAGATACTTTCTTTTCTTCTTCAATCAGTTTAGTGCCTGGCTCAGTTTTTTTTTTTCCATACAAGGGGCCTTTAGCATACATATCAATACTCTCTGAATCACCCCAACCTGCTAGTTCTTCAGCTTATTCTTTTGCTATGACCTACTCCTTCACTCCACCACAGCTATATAGAGAAATTGTAATATCTTTGATCTTGCAGTCACCCATAAGTATTCCGTTTTTATATTTAAGAACTCTGAAATTCCTTTATCTGATCAAAATCTGTTATCTCTACCTTTACCTTGCAACCTCAAACCCTAGTCTTTGTCCATGTGCATATTAAATGACTGATTCGCCATGACTTCTGAGCCCTCTGCTCTTCATTTCTTTCCCAGTCTATCACTGACTCTACTTGGAGAGCCAGTTGAACTCTATATTGTTGTATTCTCTTGTGTCCCTTGCCGCTATTGAAAATCTTAGTCTGCCAAAACTCGGTCTTGGATTACTCCTGCCATCTGCTACCTTTGCTCCTGCTCATGTAATGTAGAAAGAAACTGGAGAAAATTATGACACTGCTTAGTTCACTACATAACTGCAGCAAGGCAGTCCTTTTACATCTGCCTCATCAGTTCACTATTCCTCAAAATGATTTTTCCAGACGTTTTCATCACTCCTTAAACCTTCCAAAGGCCCCCTTCCCCCAATCTTCAGTCTGAGAACTTTGTCAAAAATTTTGCTGAAAAAATCGAGCCTATTCTTTGAGAGCTCTCCCTTCTTCCCTGTTACTTATGTCACATCATTGAGATGCCTTCTGTTACTGTCGTCTTCTTTAGCCCTGCCTCACACGAAGAGGTTACCCTTCTCTTTGCCAGAGCTAATCCTTCTGCGTGCTGAAGTGATCCTATTCGATGCTGTTGGGGTGGAGTGCTGGATCACAGTCCAGCAGATTGTTCCCCACCACTTCCCAGTTGTCACTGTCTCCCTGTGCACTGGTTGTTTCCCTTCTGCCTGCAAAGATGCCCATGTATTTCCTGTCCTCAAAAAATAATGCGATCTGTCCATCCCAGCTAGCTGTCCTCCTATATATCTTCTCTCTGGTGGCTAAATTTCTTGAAAAGATGACCTACAATTGGTGCCTCCCCTTCCTTTTTTCTCATTTTCTTCTTAACTTTATGCAGCCTGACTTCCCACCTAAACATTAAGCTGAAACTACTACAATGAACCCTTGATTAGGGAGGGCAGGGCATTTATATACTGCCTATTATGTGCACTGTGCTAAGCATTTTGCAGATATCTTATTTGATCCTCACAACAACCCTGTGAGGTAGGTGCTCTTATTATTCTCATTTTACAGTTGAGGAAACTGAGGCAGTCAACGGTTAAGTGACTTGCCCAGGGTTACACAGGTAGTAAGTGTCTGAAGCTGGATTGCTACTCAAGTTTTCCTTACTCCAGGCCCAGTGCTTTATCCACTGCATCACATAGCTGCCTCAGTAATTGCCAAATCTAATAGCCTGCTTGACCTTTCTGTAGACTTTGACACTGATTTTTCTCTGTAGGTTTTCATGATACTACTCTCTCCTGGTTTTCTTTCTGCATCCCTGAATGCTCCTCAGTGTCCTTTCCTGAATCTTCCAGGTCATGCCTTTTAACCATGGATTTCCCTCAAGACTCTGTCCTGTTCCTTCTTCTTTTCTCTCTCTGTATTTTACATGGTGATCTCTCATCAGCTCCTACCTCTTATCAAAACCCAGAGGTTTATGATTCTCAGATATGCTTAATGGCACTATCCTCTCTTTTGACTTCCATTTTTGTGTCTCTAATTGCTTAGTGTACATAATCTTAAACACAAAAAGTCCAAAAACTGAATCGATTATCTTTATCCCAAGTTCTTCCCACTTTTCTGATTTTCTAATTAATGTTGGGGGCCCACTGTCTTCTCAATCACCAGAGGCTGACAACCTAGGTTAACATAGTAAACAGTTAATAAATGTTTGTTGACTGACTAAAGCAGTAAGCTGATTCCATGTTAAGTGTTTTTCTTATACTGTACTAATGTTTCTGGGTTTTCTAATATGTAAGGTAGTACATTGAGTTGCTTCTTTTAGGCACCAGTTGACATTATGTTTTTACTAGTCTTTGTATAAGTTATTAACCTTTCCTTTATTAACTTTTCCCTAACTGTCAGGCTCTTAGGATATTGAAAAATCTATTATTAAGAACAGCTGAGGGAACAGAGGGTAGAGAAGACTTAGGGGGAACTCTTTTCAAATGATTAAATGTCAGTCACATGGAAGAAAATCTCTTTTGTCTTCTTGAAATAGTGCAGCAGAAACTATGTGATAGTTTTGGGTGGGTAAGTTAATAGTATAAAGAAGAATTTTTTTTTAAACATCTAGAGAGGATCCACAGTGCAATAGGCTGCCATGAAAAATAGTTCCTCATCATTGGACGTATTGGAATACTGAATGGTGATTATTAGGGATGCTATAGAGGGATTTCATAACCTTAGTGGGAAATTGAACTTAGACAGCCTATCCTCTGCCAACTTATATAATTCTTTGATGCATTCAGGGTCCAGGGCAGGACCCAAAAGGGTCAAAGTTGGCTGTTGACTGCAACACAACACCGCTTGGAGCAAGAGGTTTGGGTGTGGAACCAAAATAATGAAATAAGCCTAGAAAAATAGATTCTGAGATTCTTTCAGTACTGTACAAGGTACCAAACTGACTTTCAGTATAGAAGTAGCATGTCAGCCCACTTCTTTCATATTGATATTCTTCCATTAATATAGACCTGCACAACTTGGCAGTAGGTGGGGGCCAGAATTAAAATAGGCTATACTTCTTTGAGGCGCAGATAACGTTTTAGTGGCTCACTTTCCAAGTAAAGGTATAATTAATAATTAAACTATTTTGCAAATACACTATATTAAAAAAGGGAAATTTCAAATAATATCAATTAATTATACTTATTACTTAAGATTTTTATTTATAATGAAATCACATTAATGTTAAAATAATTACTTTACTTAGTGGCACAAGTTTTAATACATTTTTCGGGTTTTCTTACTGTTTATGTTTCGTAAAGACCAAAAACACAGCAAAAAGGTATTATTCTTACTCTTCTCATACTAGAGACAGACTGATGATGGTTGGTTGCCTCGGTTCACATGACAAATAGGAGAGAGTGTGCAGTGGCAACCCACCCACCAGCTTACATGGTGGGTGTGGTAGTGACTAGTGAAAGGAGGGTTAAGCGGGCATAGAAAAAGTACTTATTACATATTTACTTTCTTTTTCATCCTCTACATTTTTCGTGGGCTTCCTTAAATCCTTTGGTGGGCCACAAGCA